TTTCAGTGGATGATCCAGGTTGTTCTGCTTTTTATTTTATTTTTTTAATTAATTCTGATGATGAATAATGTGAAATGATCGGCCTCTGGAGACGATACGAATCTCGCAAATCAGAAATGGCAATTTTAGGAATTTGTTGGAGGTATTTCTGAAAAGTGACCAACAATAATGCTGAGCAATGTACTATAAAATGGGAACTATGATTCGAATTCTCGTTGAGGTTTGATTTGGTTGAGGATGATATGGATATTGAAATTGCATTTCTCATTGAGGAATTCTATGATTATGTCTGTTACAGTACTGGATTATTTAGTGTCTTTTATATCTCTAACTACAGAGCACTTTTTTATAAATCTCCATGCAGGCGACAATAGGCATCGACTTCTTGTCAAAAACTATGTACCTTGAAGATCGTACAGTTCGCTTGCAACTTTGGTAATATATTATTCAACTTTTCCAATTTGGCACACAGAATCGTCTTCATTAGAATGATTGTTTTATTCGTGATTTTAAATGTTCAAGCAAACCAACGAAAATCACAAATTCTTGATGTAGCAAGTCACAAAGCCCTGTTTTGTATTATTTTGTATTGTCATTTGGTGATTACTACAGACTGAAAACTACTCCCTATGATTTCAGGGACACTGCTGGCCAAGAAAGATTCAGGAGTCTTATTCCAAGCTACATTAGAGATTCTTCAGTGGCAGTGATTGTCTATGATGTTGCCAGTAAGTAATTACTAACTATCATAGGGTGGGATCATTTTAGAAACTCCTATCGGTCTAATAAAGCCTTGAATCTTTGTTTCGGTTAATGTTGTGAAAATAATTTAAGATTTGTAAGATTCCAGATGAATTTTTCACTCGCCTGATAATGTTTTCCTGCATTCCGCTATATGTATAGAATGTTACTTTTTACCAGCTGAAAATGTCAAAAATATGTATAGTTACTCTATTCTTTTTCTCCCTTCCCAGATCGGCAGTCATTTTTGAACACATCAAAGTGGATTGAGGAAGTAAGAACTGAAAGAGGCAGTGATGTTATCATTGTTCTTGTTGGGAACAAAACTGACCTTGTCGACAAGAGGTGAGTGAAATAAAGAAATGTTGATTATTGTACAAGTTTTTGTTTTGTTTTTATTTATTATTATTATTATTTATTTTTTTTAAGGGCTTATGTCCGGTACTGATATTTGCTTTGTTAAAAATGTGTTCAATGTCCATTAGTGGCTCTCAATGTTAAATATGGTGCTTCTTTCGTACCTTTGTGCCTATTATTTTGATGAAAATACAATTTTTGCCTGCTTTGCTTGTACAGACAAGTCTCGATTGAAGAAGGAGATGCTAAGGCTCGTGAATTTGGTGTCATGTTCATAGAAACCAGCGCAAAAGCAGGTTTCAACATCAAGGTGAGAGCAATATCCCCGTCCCCTATATCTAATACTACATTGAAAATCCTTCTCCAAAGTTCGCCTAGAAACTCAACTTATACGGATTACAACCAACATGTATACACTTGTGATATTAATTTGCACTGCATGGTAATTAACAGATAATGAATTAAGTAAAACGAAACTAATTAGTAATCACACAATCAGTTATAGATGAAGTTAAAATGATTAACTATACTATAACTTTAGGCGTAGTGTTAATTTTTTTTTATATATATATATATATATATATATTATATGTCTGGGCTTTTACTTCAGGATTCTATAGCATCTACGCTTTAATTTGAAATGCAGCCTCTATTCCGGAAAATAGCTGCTGCATTACCAGGTATGGAAACTCTTTCCTCCACAAAGCAGGAGGAGATGGTGGACGTCAACTTGAAGCCAACATCAAATGCATCACATATGGAGCAGCAAGGAGGAGGCTGTGCTTGTTAGATAACTTTTTTCCCCTCTTTTTCAGTATTGAGTCTTTTGATAGTGCCAATTTTATGGAGTTTTTGTTAAGTTTTTAGTGAACACGTTAATTGGAAATCAGGAAAAAACACGTTCGTGATAAATCAGATTCAGGGGAGATATGCTTTTGAAATTTTCCCCACTGGGGTGGCGTGTACTTGTATTATTGTTTACCTTCTAGCTTTAATTTTAACGTTCTACAAGTTTTTTTTCCCTCTTAATATATTCACAACAAAAATAGGTCACATATTGCGTAGTCGTGTTATTCGTGTTTGAACTCATGCTTGTCTAATAATTGAGAGTCATTGTGCATTTGCGAGCATGCTTAGCTTGACTGCTTGTTCGAAACCTAGAAAATTTATCAAAAACATAGATGAGTTGTTCACGAGAGCTTGGCTAGTTTAATAAAAGAGCTCAATTATTGTTTGGCAAACTCGAGCTTTCACAAGACAACTCAATTCGCATAACAACTCGTCATATGCATTTGTTATCACAGTCATGTAGACTAGTTATCTCAATTTATTTCCTGTTTAGTTTTCATTTTTCATATTTCTCCACCGTGGCCCTTTAGCTTTGGCCAACACTAACAAAAGTAATTACCAAAACGCTGCTCCGGCAGCAGAACATGCGTTGACAATTACAATGAGAACATCTCAAAGTGTCATTCCAGGTTCTCAATATTTACATTGATGAAAAAAGCTTCAATTCATAACCCAAAAGCTATTAAGTGGGAAAAAAAAAAAAATGGCACCAGCTGAACAGAAGAGAAGGAGCAAGCCATGGACTAAAGAGATTCTTGCAATGAAAGATTACAAATGAGATCCAGAAGAATATTTCAAACATTACCATATGCATCGCTGATTTGCCTCACTCTCAGGGTCAGATAAATCAGAATAATTGTTCCCATGCTAGACCTGAAAGAAGACAAGATAATTTGTTTTCAGTTTCCTGCAAAGGATTAGAACAAATTACATCAAATTTCAGTCTAAGAATCAAGAAGTCCAACAACATTACACCTATAGTGAAAAATTGTACGAGATCAGGTCAGTGAAATTTAGCTTCTGCTATTAGGCCTATAAGTTATCCCTATTTAAAGTACAAGATTATTGGAGCATATTTGTTCTCCTTGTTTAAGGATCAAATTGCAACTACTATAAAGTTCAGGTATGAGATTGCCAAAAAAAAAATGATTAAATTGTAAAAATGTGAAAGTTGGCGAATTGATATGCAATTAACTCTAGTTTTTATCATTAACCACAATTAATCCTGTCATCACACAAAAAGGTGACAAACAATGCATGGGTTAAATTATATGCTATTCTTTTACTCACTACTCGACTTTGTGTCATTGGGAATATCTAAATTCTTATCTTCCCCAATCCCCAAGCAAAAAGATTAAGTGTAATATCTATTATACATGGGATCAATCATCAACTCAAGGATGGAATATGGTTTGAGCTTACAAGACTGAGAACAAGAGAACCACTCTTTTTGAATTGAACGAGGCTGATCGTCTGTACTTTCTTGATCTATTAGTAGGTGTAAGTGTGTCGAACTTATCTGTGACAAGAAATTACAAAGTATGTAAAAACTTGAAGCACATAGCATTGCATCTATTATGGCATGTATTGTATGAGAGAAGATCATCAACCATGAAGTTTGACATATGCACAGCAGTACAGTGAATCTTTAACCAACAGTCAACCATTTGTACATACAATCCTTTGTATGTAATGCTGATTTATAAGGCTGAATTTCAAGGTTCATGCTATATTTGTAAACTGTGCCACTATTGTATGCATAGGTGCATGATGAGAGATAATAACAGAAATGGATATTGGGAAAATGAGATTTTCATTCACTATGGAAAAAAAATAAACAAATACCCACATCACCTTTCATTCCCTCAATTTCATCAATATAAGTTTTCCAAATAAAACCTAATCTTTACTATACATTTCCCTATAAAATTTACTATCCATTTACTCATATATCTCTGTTTACCAATCATAATTTTACTATTACCTGATCACATCAACTTTAATAATTACTTTTCATCTTACATGAATTTACGTTACAAAAATGATTCTTTCCCCAAATCTTTTTTCACTCAAAGAAAATTTTGTAATGAAAGCATATCCAATCGTGTGCCCATAAACTTTGTTTCCAAAATTGTAGTACTTCCCGTATCACACTAAAGATATTTCGTATAAATATATGGAACGTGGTGCATCAATTATGGTATCTGGCATGAGAAACACGTCTAACGAATGAATAAGATTCATAAAACCAGAAATTTTATCAATTAGTTGCACCCATGAGAGAAATATTCATGTCCTCGCAACAAGAAAGGATAATATAACTATATCAGCTCATAATATGCATTAACATGTCAACCAAGAAATAAGAAACTTTAAAAAAAAATGGTTTTTAAAACAAACTCTACCTCGTGAAATGAACTTGGGTAATTCAGTCAAATGGTTCATCAGGAGCTGCATAATCTTTCCTCTTATCTGGAAGCAAAACTCTTGAGGCAATGCTCTCTACAGACCAAATACATACAGTCACTATTGAGTCATAAAATGTCAGGTTTAAAAATACCATCAAAAAGAAAATCAAGGAAGAGAAAGCTTCATTATTTTAAGCAACATGAATTCATAGACATACTGCAAAGGAGTCATCAGACTTCAGATTGACAACACAGTCTTCATTAGACTTGGGGAGTTCAGCTTTTCCTTTCTCGATATCCACATCAAGGACAAATGGCGTATAATTATTCACCTTATCGGCATCCACTTTGGTAAAATTCAGTAAACTATCAGAACTTAAGCACGTCTGGCTTTTCATCTGTCTAGGGACTTCGACAGAAGTTGTATTTGAGGTCGGCTCATAATGCATGTTAGTGGGTCCTCCATCAGGCAAAACCACAACACTGTGTACATTTTGACACTGCAAAGAAAAGGACCACACCACAAATATCTCATTATAATCACTCAAGAACCAAAAAGAATCATGAAGATTCAATGGACGGGAGAAAATTAATTAGTCTTGAACAGGTATCATACCATGAATAAACATAAAATAAGAAAAAAAAAAGTATAATAGTTGAAGTGCTTCAAAATATGTGTTTCTCCACATGAATAAATGTTGCTTTCTTTGGGCAAGCATCTGATAAACAAGGACTGGCCGAGAACGACTGATACTAGCATTCATTTGTAAGTCATCAAAAGCTTTGAGCACAACGAACAAATACGTAAGTGAGATGATGACTGATGAGAGTTCCAAACTTTAACCCACAAAAGCTTCAAAAGCCACAATCTTGAAGATGTACACAGAAATTCTGGCCCCTAACAACCATAGATTTTTTCTAACTACTATCAAGTTGTATTATAATAGCAATTAGATTCCAGCTCAATTTTTACTCCATTACTGATTCTTACTATTGAAAAATTACAGAACGTGGATTAGTAGATAAATCATCCCGAATGGCAGATTTTTGTGTCTGGCAAGAGTTTGACAATTATATGCAAGGCACACATTCACAAACTGATCAATTGTGGCCTATCAACTAATTCTTTGGCCTAAACCAATAATTGTTCAGTAATTGTTGTTTTATTTCAAACATCAACGGCATCATTACCAATTATAAACAGTAGTCAGTAAGACAAAGTGGTCTATAAACCAAATTTTCACCCATAAATAATTTCTTCTTCATCTTCTTTCAACTTGGGGAGAGAGTTTTTACTTTTTCTTTTCTTTTTTTTTTAAAAAAAAAAATCCTATATAAATGGTACTTGAGAAACATAAAAACAAGAAAAAAGAAGAAGAAGAAGAAAAATGACTGTAACTAAATTAAATTCGAAATCCGCATGGGCAACACGATTTTCCACATATCAGAACCAAAAAAACAAATAGAACTTGAGAAAAATTTGCATATTCAAGAACACAAGCAGCATTTAAGAGGAAAATTATCATCTAACAATCGTGTTCGAAATCAGAGAGTAAATCACAGAGTCCAACTACGGAAGGGACAATTAAAAATAAAAATAAAAAAAAAATAAAAAAAGCCAATTAAAAGGGAAAAAAAATCGAATCTACATCTCCATTTCACACAGAAACACAAATTGCAGGCACTAAAAACTTGAGAAAATGAAATCTCACCTCTTCACTAGAATTGACCGCCATTGCAGAACCAAGAAAGGAAGAGAAAAACAGAGAGAGTATGGTGGTGCGAAAGAATCCTCTGCTTATGAAATCACATTATAAATGCTGCCATTTGCATGTGTGTGTTTGTTTATATGCACTTTCTCTCTCTAAAACAGAGGAAAGGTATCGTGATTCGTGAGTGTGGGGGAGAGGTTAACAGGCACGAACTGCCAGGAAAGCTTCTGATGACGACAAACATTTTCTGCTCTTTTTATTGATAAAATAAAATAAATTTCCCATCTTTTCTCTTTTTAATTTCATTTTTGAACGCATACGGCTTTATGATCGGGATGCTGTCTAGTGACCGTTTCTGTAAATTTTTTTTTTATTATTTTTTGAATAATTAATGTGAAATGCAATAAAATGATAGCTGCATTAATTAATAGATAAAATTGTTAGTTTTTGATTAAGTTTTGTCCCACATCAGATATATACCAAAGATGTGTATAATCTTATTAGTATAAATAAGTCATTTGCCTTTGGTGACAATTGCACTTTATTCTATTATCTCCCCTCTTGGAAAGAAATCCTTAATTAAGAAAATTTTAATTTCTGAATTATTTAACCCTAGTTGTATTTTGTTGGTAAGTTTAGTAAATTTAGCGTTGCGGTTGGCGATGCCGGAGACGTAGGCTATTTTCGCCGAACTCCGTTATCAATTTTTGTGTTCTTTTTATTTCTCGTCTTTTATTTATTTGTGTTGGTTTATTTTCGTTTGGAGTAGTGCTAGTCATATTTGTTGGAGAGTATTTTTGTCCGGGTAAAGGTCATTGGCAAGCTGTGAAATGGATACTACGGTACATTCATAGTACTGTAGACGTTGAATTAGTTTATGAGCAGGATGAATTTGGTCAGTGTGTAGTTAGATATTGGGATTCCGACTACGCAGACGATTTGGATAAGCAAAGATCAACGACTGGATATTTGTTCACTTTTGCGAAAGCTCCAGTCAGTTGGAAGTCTACCTTACAGTCAACAGTTGCTTTGTCTACAAAAGAGGCAGAGTATATGGCGATTACTGAAGCTGTGAATGAGGCTATTTGGCTTCAAAGTTTGCTTGAAGACTTGGGAGTTGGTCAAAAGCATGTCTTAGTGCATTGTGACAGTCAAAGTGCTATTCACTTAGCGAAAAATTAAGTATTTCATGCAAGAACGAAGCATATTAATGTTCGCTATCACTTTGTGCGGGAGATTCTAGAAGATGGAACCATTATGTTGAAGAAGATCAAGACGACGGAGAATCCTGCAGATATGATGACCAAGGTAGTAACAACAATCAAGTTTGAACATTGTTTAGACTTGACCAACATTCTGCATATTTGAGTTGGCGCCGAGAGGCGCATTTGGAAGCACCGCCAGCAGTTGATTTGGATTGAAGAATCGAAGTGAGAGCAAAATTAGTCAAGGTGGATAATTGTTAGTGTTTGACTAAGTTTTGTCCCACATCGGATGTATACCAAAGATGTGTAGGATCTTATTAGTATAAATAGGTCCCTTGTCTTTGGGTTACAATTGCACCTTATTCTATTCTTTCATCTCTTAGAAAGAAATCCTTAGTTAAGGAAATCTTAATTTGTGGGTTATTTAACCCTAGTTGTATTTTGTTGGTGAATTTAGTAAATTTGGCGTTGCGGTTGGCGGTGCCTAGAGACGTAGGCTATTTTCGCCGAACTCCGTTATCAATTTTTGTGTTCTTTTTATTTCTCGTCTTTTATTTATTTGTGTTGACTTATTTTCGTTTGGAGTAGTGCTTGTCATATTTGTTGGAGGAGTATTTTTGTCCGCTGCGTTTGGTGTTCTACCCCAACAAAAGTAATAAATAAGAAATGGGGGGAATTGATTTTGAGCTGTTTTATAATAATTAATTTGACTGCATTAATTAATAGATAAATAAGAAATTGGGGGAATTGATTTTGAGCTATTTTGCAATAATTAATTTGACTGGATTTTTTTGATTGAATTTTAACTAACGGTTTCAGATTTTACACGGACTACTATGCTAGATTTTAATTGACCACGAGTTTAAGAATCTTTTATTTTATAATTACAGAATATATTTATATTGCTAACAAACTTGTTTGAAGATGTTCGTTATAAAGCGAAATTCAAAGTCATGACATTTTACTTTTAAGATAATTTTCTTGAGTATGATAGAATTTTCTTTTTCTTTTTTTATTTATAGCAGAATTACATTAATCTTGTTTGCGAATTGTGGGTGAGTTATTTTGTCACTAAAGTCTAGTGTGAATTTTGCTTTTTGAATAATCTTTTTTCTAGTTAGGTTTCACTCCACCCAATAAATAAATAGAAAAATAGTGAGGCTCTTAGATAGATCTAATGTTTATGCATTTTTTTTAAATAATATACATATTTTTAAATTGAAATATTAAATTTTAAAACATTATTTAAACAAAAGTATGACATTTTATAATACAAGATTCTTGTTAAATAAGTACGATGGGTCGATCCGCTTAAAGATTAGGCGACCACACAAGATTTTTTTTTTTTTTGTAAAAAAGTGTAATTCTCATTCTCAATATCTAAGTTAGAAATAAAAACAGCAAAGTTTCCTTCACTATAGTATATATTTTTTCATTTATTAAAAGGTATAAACAATAAAACACATATAATTCAGATATAAATTTATGAAATAGTCTTATTAATCATGGTATTCAACATAAAGAAATGAATTTGTGGTCCAACCCCTCGATACTTTATTTGTTCGATTAATCAACAAAAGATTTCTCCCGACCAATTCTTAGTCAGTTCGGTGGTAATTGATTCGTTCTAATGAATCAAATTAACTTATCAACTGATTGATTTTCTATCCGATTATTTTTTTAAAACCATGCTTAAGAATCAATGTAATTGATTTTCTATAAGCATTTACAATGACTTTTGTGGAACGAAACATTTTCTTTCAATGGGTTAGCATATAAAATTTGGCTATAACGAAAATTTTGTAGATAAAAACGTATATTTAATATGAAATTTAATAGGTTTTAATAAATAAAAAATATTCATCTTAATAAGTATATACCAACTTCTCATTGGTCGTCGTTACAGTATAATTTAATCACATATAGACGGTTGATAGATTTGGATACATGATTTATTAATTTTAATCGAACACATTAATCTTCTATTAATTTGTTCTTCTATGACGCCCATTTGGGTCTCCTCGTTGAATTTGTGACTTAATTTAGGAGTGTGAATTCATTTTGGGATATTAAGACACATTTTATTACTTTCTGAAATTTGAGATTTTTAAAATTTTTGAAATTTAACATGTATAATTAGATTTGGAGTGAGATTTCCATAAGATTTTTGTTTATGAAATCTTATCAAATTCTTAAAAGTTTTAGTAAATCTCAGTGTTATAAGTTATGACCTGTTAAGATTTTTTATATTTTAAATGAGTACATCAGGGCTTTTAAAGTATTTAAATGTTTTAAAAAAATTCAAATTAAATACACCAAATAAGGTTATACAGTATACACACATTTTCATAAGATTTTTTGGGATTTTTTTATAAGATTCTTTTTTCCTAATGATTGAGTAGAAAAATAATTAATTTATTTATTTATTTTTGTAGATACTTGGTGATGGGCCTTGCCTGGTTGTCGTAACTCATATGGTGGCCTCTTATAAACATGAAGGACATATTGCAACGGTGTGGTCAAATCAAAATTCATGCAACATATTATTTATTAATATATAGAAAAAAACTTAAAAAAAAATATTTTAGTCACGGGATACCAACTGTTGTGAACAATTTTGAAGCAAATTTCCCTATATATAGTCTCGTCGTTGTTTTATTATTTTCCGTAATCAGAGTTTGAAAATGACATGTGTACTCTAAAAGTCTCCACACATAGGACAATAATGTTTCACATGAAATTTTTCAGAGCTTATGCTTTTCTATTTTCCTTCAAGGGATTACAACATATTTTATACTATCTTTCATACGTCGTCTCTTGGTTTGAACAATTTTAATTTACTTTCAATTCAAAAATAACTAGACTTAGAATTATTCATGAGCATTAATTGTGTTTTAATACACAGTTTCCTGTTCTGAACATGGTTTATAAGAAATGAAATTTTTTGCCTCAATATTTCTTTTTTTCTTAATTTTTTTTAATTATAATACACTTTATTAACTTAAATTGTAAATATATTTTTCAAAATTAACTTTTATGTTTATTATAAATTTTCATATATAATATATCAAATCAATCATTTTTTCATTGCTGCGATTTGACATGTATATTGTATGATAAAGTATATAAATAATTATATCTATATTTAAAAATAAAATTAAATTGTCTATTAATTTTAGGTGAAGAAAATAAAATTACTTATCAATTAAATAAATTTAACTACAAAGTAGTTATAAGATATAAGTTAAAAAAATATTTATAATATAAGATGATTAGGTAGTAAATGTGATAGTGTGATAACAATAATATATTTTTCAAAAATATATTTAAAATTTAACAAATACTTTTTTTATTACTTTTAAACTAGTACGAATCCCGTGCGATGCACGAATAAGAGATATTCATTAATATTTATAAATTAAAAATTCTCATTAAATAATGTTATAAATTAAAAACATGGAATCAATATATAATACAATGCATCTATATTAATTTATTAAAAATATTATATAAAATTTAAATTATGCAAAATTTATAAAATTTAAATCGTGCAAACATAAAAATGTCTATTTAAAATTAGTGCACAACCCGCGCGTTGCATATAACTGATAATAAATTACCTTATATTCGTTTCAAAATACGTGTCATCTCAAAATTTTTATTAAGAAATTCGAGTTGACTATAACGTGATTCTATAAAATAATTATTTTGGTAAAATTTTATCATATATTTAAAATCTTATGTGAATAATAAGTATAAAGATAAAACTTATATTGTTTCTTTAATTAATATGAATTTATTTTTGTATAAATATTCAAATCAAAATATTTATGTAGTTGAGTTAAAACAATCAGTCATAAGGTTTTTTATGCCAAAAAAGTCGACACTCCTTATCATGCTAAAAAAAATAAAAAATGCATTCCACACAAAAATTATTTGAAATGTCGTAACAAAAAATAAATTAAATTGAGACCCACTAATTTAAAAAAAAAAAAAAAATTGACCATAGCTTTCTCTATAAAAAAAACATCAATACACGCACATTATCTCAAATATCCGTTCATATCATTTTGTCGGAGTTACGGTAATTTTTTTATATTAATTTCATACGAAAAATTGAAACCCACGCCTAAAAGTCAATATATTGGTCTGCTCATTACATAA